TTGTTAGTAATTAATTGAATCCTATAGCTGCATATACCTTATACTACATGAGTAGGTAGCAAGAGAGTACATGTACATTGAGAGGAAGGACAAGCAGTTTAAATCAGACAGAGACTGTGCATTAGTACAATATTATAAAGAAAGAGGAGGAGGAGGAGGAGAAGGTGAACTATCAGAAGCAGCACTAGAAGAACTCATTAGTCATTATGCTGCTGAGAGAAAGAAAAGAACTCATCTATTTGTTCAATCATTGATCAAGAAAAGAAATAACTATCTGGAAACAGTAACTGAACAATAATTGTCATTATGATTATACTGCAAATGATTATCAGGTTTATAATGTGAGAGTGAACATGGTCAAGTTATGAGAGATGAGATGATGAAGACTCCATTTGATATTGATTTGAGTGTTTTTGTTGCTATGAGTGACTCCATGCATGCTGTAATAGATTATGTTGCACTCCAAAATAATGTTATATACAAATGACAAAATGTCATACATTGAGCTCAAAACAGATAATAATAAATATTGTTAATATTAATTGTATGTTAAAGACATATAGAGATAGTTCATTGTTATAGTTAGTTACTCTCTTGTTCAGCTACAAACAAATATTCTTCTTGTATAATGGTACACTCAGAGAAGATGCTGCAGTCATCATAATTGCTGGAGGAGTAGAAGATATATTACTAGGAAATACAAGTAGTGAATTTGTTGGATCTACTGACTCAGTTGGCCTCTCCATCATGTACTATGTAGACTGGAGCTTACTGCACTGACCACTGCAGTAGTGTACAGTGTTTTTATAGCATAAAAATAAACAGGAAATCAAATTCAGTGGGAGTGTCAGTGACTCAGTGGCTGCATTCCAAACTAAAGTGAAATGTCAACCAAACCAGAGGAGCTGAAAAGAGCCTTTGACAGAGAACTTAGTGAGTAGATATTCATAATAATTGTTTTATTAGTATTATTAATGATAGATATTAGTGATTTTCGACTGGTATGGGAAAAAGCTGGTGTTCTTTCAGGACGCTGGGACTCTATTGGTATTCTGTTAGGAATCAGCTACAACAAGTTATATGAGATTGAATCAGAGAGAAAGACGGCCAGAGGCTGTCTACAGAAAGTATTTGATTGCTGGTTGAAGACTGAAGGACTATGACTATAAGAGTCATGGTGTCCCTACATTAAGAATGCTGTGTAACTCTCGGTGTAACTCCATTAAAAGTAACAGTGGGGGAGCTGATCCAGCTCTAGCTGATGAAATAGCAAAAGAATTTAATCTTATTAGTAGTGGAGAGGCTACTACATCACCAGTTCATATTTCATCTTCTAAAGGTAAATATAATACAATAATTAATAATTAGTTTAGTCTGGTCACTGACGAGACTATAATTTGTTTATTTATTATTTCAGAAGCTACTCCAACTGTTGAGCTACCAGTTCCTACTTCACCTCAATCTGAGTCTTCAGTTGTTTACCTTAAGAAGAAATCAATTGAATATTCACCAAAAAACACAATGACACGATTGATTGATGATCTACAAGAAGTTTACCTTGATAATATGTATCATACAGAGAAGTCTTTTCGTTCTATTGATGTCTCAGAAGTTATTGATTTTGTTCAACATTATATTGTACTTTTACTCAGTCCACGTTTTCGTAAAAGCCAAATCATCGATTCAATTGAAAAAGAGTTTGAACACATTAAAACAATGAAGCAGCTGTTTAAGGCATTAGAAAAATACGTCTCGTGGTTCAATTTCGAACTTGTCGTCAAGTTAGTCAATACTTTCATTACTGATGAGAGAGATTTACAGAGGAAGTGGTCTACATATCGTGAGAAATTAAAAGATTATTTTAAAAATAACAATACTTCAGCAGTTCAAATTGCAGACTCAATTGAGTTTGGTCTTTCTGATGTTCCAGGCACTAA